GGTTTCTACTGCTGCCAATCGTATTTCATCTGTTACGGAACTCTCACCACGTAAGCTCTAGGAATAGTGACCTCCATGAGGTCTTCATTGGACGAGGCACAGAGGTACTCAGTACTCATGTTGTCTCAAGTTTAATCTGACCTCATGGTAGACCTGGATTTTCAGGCCCTTATGGCTTGTTCCTTATTTCGGATGGGCCTCTATTCCCATTTAATGTTGGGCCGAAGTTATACATTTATTCCTAATTGGTGAGATCGTGATTGGTAAAAGACTAATTAGGCTTTGTGGAGCATGCATATCATCAAGCATAATTAAAACAATTAATCAATAATGTGATCAATCTAAATCTTGTTGCCTGCACTTTTGTCAATAAAATTCCACGTTGCTAACTTTTCCTAATGATAAGTCTGTTATGCATTAAGTTGCTTCATATTAGGCCTCCCTTGTCATATTCATGGTCTGTAACTTTGTATAATGAACTAATTGGATCATATTAATTAAAAATATGTCCTGATACTATAGAAGTATCGGGACATATCCTGAGAACGGAGATAAATGTTCCGTTGCTCCTGAGCAGTCAAAATGGGCTCCAATTTTTCAAGGGTAAGATCGCCCGGGAGGTAGTTGAGGATGGTCAGCAAAGATTCATACTCTGAGCCCAAACCAATAATAATACTCAAGAACATCACGGTTGCTAACAGGAGAATTGATAGCATTCAAAGCATCAATTAACAATTTTATTTCCAAGAGATATTGTTCAATGGTTTGAGACTCCTTTTTAATATAGGAAATTTGTCGCTTAAGTTCTATAGAACGGGGACGACATGCATTCATAAAAAGAGTCTCAAGTGATTCCCATATACGGGTAGAAAATTTTAAGTGATATACCGCCATCAAAATATCACATGAGAGAGTAGCAAAGAGCCAGGAGTGTACAATCTAATCTATTTTAAGCCAATGAGCGTACTTAGGATTGGGAATTTCCCGTTGCATAGCATCATGTATAAATTGTGGCGGAGCCAAAATTTGAGCCATCTAGAATCCCAAAAGGACTGTGGGAAACCAGAAAAGACTCAATTCAAATTGAGTACGCCACGGAAGATAATCTTCAACTGCATTTAATCTAGTGGTAACAATATTCGGAACGTTGGGTGTAGAAAAACCCAATTGAGCCGCCATTGAGGCTAAAGAGGATGGTTGAGAAGTAAAACTCGGAAGGTGCAAAGGGGATTGTTGCGTCACTGAACCAACCCCTGGTTGGCCTGAGAAGGTAGAACCAGAGAAGATGGGCAGCGGTAGGAGCTGTTGATCCAGAATCATCCGAGGCTGGATAAATGGTTTTGATGAAGACGCTACGGCAGAATGAGATGGAGTCAGAGTCCACGAAAAAGCGTCTGGCATGTTAAATAACCGATATGCAGACATGGACGGAGGAAGAGACACACAGGCAGAGGAGCTTTGATGTTGATGCACCACCGGCGAGGAGATAAACAAGCAAGAGGATTGTGCTGGGAAAACCGTCGTTGCCATGGTGACAGACTGTGGCTGCTCGGAAAGGGATCCCTGCGACATGGTGCTCGCAGTGATGACCAAAGAAGATGTGGTCGTGAAAGCAGAGGTAGAAGCCATCGCAAAAAAATAAAGGCGGCGGCTAGAAAAATTACGTGTAAACCTAAGCTGTTGTGCGTCTTGTGAACTGGTTAGTGATTAATGTGTCTGCCTCTTATTTAGCTGTGAATCCTTTTCAACATGACCGCAGTAAGCATATCAAGATTGATTACCACTTTGTCAGAGAAAGAGTTGCTCATGGAGATCTGGTGGTCAAATATGTTCCAACGCAGTTACAGTTAGCTGATATTTTTACTAAAACTTATCTAGTTAGCGTTTTGTGTTTTTACGTTCCAATCTGCGCGTTGTTTCCCCTGCACAGATTGAGGAGGTGTAATAGTCTATAGTATCGGGACATATTTGTAATTTTCCTATTTATCTGTTTATTATATATAGACCACCAGGACACCCTAATAGTGTGAGCCATTATTCCATTTTATTATTTCGTACATATTTAATAGCTCTATTTTCTTATGATGTGTGGTATTTTGGGATGAATCATCCTTTAGGCCCGTAAGTTAACGACCAATTAAACCTTCAGTGTTTGATAGGAGATTCGAACTAATGAAGAACTTTTTTTTAATTGGCCATTTGTATCTATCGATATTTATTCGTATAGGCAGTGTCGATCCTACATAAACGTGGGTCTGAGTCGAGCTTTCATAAAAGGACCCTATACATAGTATTTTTTTGTAATACAACATATTTAGAAATAGAGGATTAATATCACAAAAAACTCAATACTTAAATAAAATTATTACGTTATAACATTAAAAAATCACAATTTTGATTAATTTTGGATTGAAAATTGCACAATTTCTATCATGATATTCTTAAATAAAAAAAAATAAATCTGAATTCTCAAATATAAAATTTCAATTGCAAGGCACGAGCCTGCTTGACTAATTTGTAAAATAAGTAAGAGTCAATATGCTTTTAATTTTTAAATAGACTGTTTATGGAGATATTTAAAATCCCAACCAATAATATAAGATTTAGTCAATAGTTATAGCAAATAGAAAATAGAAGTTAATAAGTTAGTTCATTTGGGTATTCATTCACAAATCAGTGATTCATCAAATAAGCAAATCATTCTGAAAGCTAGATTTTTGGAAATAATAACACATCAACAAATTTGGGACTTCATGCTTGTAATTCACTTCTTGGTTGATAACTTTATTATCCCACATGTTTTGTTTCTTCTGTATTAGACGATTTAAACTACACAACCAGTGCAGCTTTTGTTTTTAATGCATATATAAAATATAAGTGTAGGGAAAACTGTCAAATAGGTCCTCGAACTTTCTTTAAAAAGTCAATTAAGTCCTTCTATAGGAGACTATGTCCGGCCGTCGCGATTTGGGGCAGTTCCCGGTGAAATTTTTTGTTGAATTTTTTTGAGCATCTTATTCATCAAGTCTAGTTTACTCATACCAAATTTCAGCTAAAAATTCAATTGAGAACGCATTCAAATTAATTCGAGAACGCAAACATGCGTAGTTATCTTCAAGAATTGATTTGAATGCGTTCCCGATTGAATTTTTAGTTCAAATTTGGTATGAGTAAACTAGACTTGATGAATAAGATGCTCAAAAAAATTCATCAAAACATTCCACCGGGAACCGCCCCAATCGCGACGGCCGGATAGAGTCTCTTATAAAAGGACTTAATTGACTTTTTTATGGAAGTTCGAGAACCTATTTGACAGTTTTCCCTATAAATGTATTCAATTTTTTGGACCCCTAAATTTTAAATTTTTTTGGGGCCCTGAGGCCCAAGCCTCACTAGCCTAAGGGAAGGACCGGCCCTGCGTATAGTGCACAATCAATATGAGTTTGAATGATTCAACCTGTACTCCATTTCTTATCCTTCACTTTTCATTCATTTCTTTTTTGAAATAATTCCACATATATAATTAAAATAAAAATGGCGCATAAATATTTGTCCCTATTAACTTTAATGACTATAATGATATCACTATATAACTTTCATTTTTGTAATTAAATTTTTTACTAGTAATATTTTAGAAGAAAAAAAAACCTTCTTTTTTTCTTGTTTTTCTTATTTGTTCCTCTCTCTAGGGGGTTAGGAGTAAGAATTGGGATGAATCGTTACAATCATTTTTTCTAAAAAAAATTTACACTAACACTTGCACTAACAATGCAATGAAAATTCGAGGTGGGCTGAATGGGGAGGATCCAAATCCGCTTTGAGCCCTACAACAATAAATTCCCTTTAAGAGTTTGAGATGTGGTCAATTTTCATACTCAAAAGGCATACTGATCTTTTTATTTTGGAAGAAGGCATACTGATCTTATGTAATGGAATTATGAGAAGAACCATATATTAATAGATAATATTACTTCGATCACTTAATATATACTCCATCCTTTTCTTATATATTTGTCAATTTTCCCTAGACCCAAAAACTTTGTCATTTTCTTATTTAATCAATCATATTGTGGCTTCTGCTATTTCTTTCTCCTCTACTCAAATATTTACCACACAATTTTTACTTTATACATACCAATCAAATTTGGCAAACTTTTCAGGGCAGAGAGAGTATTTAATAGGACTAATTTTAGTCTTACACTAAACTAGAATAGATCATATTTAAATAGATCAAACCAGACCTAAACATATGAGGCGAAATCAGACCAGACTTGAGCAACTATATAATACACATACTGAGGCATCTACCAGATAAGTTTAAGCAAGACCAGACTTAATCTAATGAAATCAGACCTGACCAATAAAAAAAATCAATGTAATTAAACACATCCTTACTATAATCGAAACCCGCTAGACATAAATAGGGGAGATGAGGGAGGTCTTGCTCCCAATGATTTCCTACCTTGACGGAGTTGCGCAACGGCTAAGAAGGGAGAGGATGAAAATTCAGGCTCAAGTTCGCGTGGAGGGAGGACCTCTTCTGGACTCAGTTGCAAGGTTAAAGGCCCTTCTGGATTCAGTCGCAACTCTCGCAAGGGTGTCCTGCTAGATTCGTTCTTTAGTACTAGTATCGACGAGATTGATTGGCGATCAGATCCGGATTTACCTTTTATATGAGGATAGTCAATAGACTTCAGGATTGAGGGAACGTAATCACCCACACATGGATCATAGAAAGAATAGCGAAAAATTATTTTCTTTAACACGTGTACGAACTGGTGGGACAAGGAGTCAGACTATGCGGTGCATTTTTTTTCTTATTAATTAAATTAAATTAAATGAATGCTAATTCGCCTTTGACGATTTGACCTTGTAAACGCCATCGACCCCAAACTCCCCTTCCGACAAGTCCACCATTGTCGTACTCATAGAACTTGTTTCCTCTATTTATCATTTTGTCTTGCTATTAAACAAAAACCCAGATTTCTTTCATTTGAAATCTCAAAATCCTCAAAGACCCAAATTAGGAATTGTAGTTGTCAAGGTCAAGAGGTGAATTGACATTGGAAATTGGTAAAGAAATTGCGGTGTTCTTGGGGCTTCCATTAATGTCGGTCGATTCAGTGAATAAGAAACTGGAAAAGCTCATCAGGTTAGCTACCGAGTTGATCAAAGCCACGGAAGAGGCTTGCTCCTCCAAGCATGAGTGCTCTGAAATCAAGTCCAAGGCGGAGAAGCTAGCGGCGCTGCTCCGGCAGGCCAAACGCGCCAGCAGCGACCTTTACGAGCGGCCCACGCGCCGGATCCTCGACGACACCGAGCAGGTTTTGGTAAAGGCGGTAGCTTTGGTCCAAAAGTGCCGATCCCACGGCATCGTCAAGCGCGTGTTCTTCATCAACCTTGCGGCGGCGTTCCGGAAGCTGCAATCCCATTTGGAAAACTCAATCGGGGACGTGTCGTGGCTCCTCCGCGTCTCCGCCACCTCCTCCGCCGATGAGTACCTCGGCCTCCCACCAATCGCCGCCAATGAGCCCATCCTCTGCCTGATTTGGGAGCAGATCGCGACACTCTACACAGGCTCGCCGGACGCCGCCTCCGACGCCGCCGCAAGTCTCGTATCCCTCGCCCGCGACAATGACCGGTACGGGAAGCTGATAATCGAGGAAGGCGGAGTCGGGCCGCTGCTGAAACTGTTGAAGGAGGGGAAGCCGGAAGGGCAGGAAAATGCCGCCAGAGCAATTGGGCTATTGGGCCGCGACCCGGAAAGTATAGATCAGATGCTGGTCGCCGGACTGAGCTCAGTCTTCACTAAAGTGCTGAAAGAAGGGCCGATGAAAGTACAGGCGGTGGTGGCCTGGGCGGTTTCCGAAATCGCCTTCCACCACCCGAAATCCCAAGAAGTTTTTGCTCAGAACCATATGATCCGGTTGCTGGTCAGCCATTTGGCTTTTGAGACTGTCCAGGAACACAGCAAGTACTCAATTGTTAGCAAGACGACCTCAATCCACGCCCTCGTCTTAGCCAACAACAAAACCGCCAATGCGAACACGAAGGAAGACGAAGAAACAAAGACCGTGCTGCCTCCGCATCCTCTCGGCAAGAACCAGAAAGCCGCTGCGAATTTGCAGAATGTGGTTCAAACTCATCACCACCACTACCAAAACAGTCTCTCCATGAAATCAAGAGAATTAGAGGATCCCGCCACGAAAGCCTATATGAAAGCAATGTCTGCAAAAGCATTGTGGCAATTGGCCAAGGGCAATCCAGCAATTTGCCGTAGTATAACGGAATCAAGAGCGCTCCTTTGCTTCGCAGTTCTTCTGGAGAAAGGGCCGAAAGATGTCAAGCTGAATTCAGCTATGGCAGTGATGGAGATCACCGCAGTGGCAGAGCAGGACGCGGATTTGAGAAGATCAGCGTTCAAACCTAATTCACCAGCCTGCAAAGCAATTGTCGATCAGCTCGTGAAAATCATTGAGAACGCAGACTCTGATCTTCTTATACCATGTGTCATCTCCATCGGAAACCTCGCTAGAACCTTTCGGGCTACGGAAACTCGAGTGATCAGCCCTTTGGTAAAGCTGCTTGATGACCAGGAAGCCGACGTGTCGAAAGAAGCAGTTGTTGCTCTTACCAAGTTTGCCAACAGGGACAACTACCTCAAGGTGTGCCACTCCAAGGAAATCATCGCGTGTGGTGGGGCTAGCCATCTGGTCCAACTAGTCTACTTGGGAGAAAACCTTGTCAAGAGCTCTGCATTGGTTCTCTTGTGCAACATTGCGGTGAACGTCCCGGATTGTGAAGAGCTCGCGCAGGCGGAGGTGCTCGCCGTGCTTGAGTGGGCATCGAAGCAGGCTAACCTGGTGCCGGATGATGACGTGGAGGATTTGCTATGCAAAGCGAAAGAGACACTGGAACTCTATCAGTCCCTAGGGGCTCGGGGTTTCCGCTAGCTCAATTTTACAGTCTTGTAGAAAAATCTATTCCCTGATCAGTGTTTCATTCTTTTTATGTATGGAGTGTACAGAGAAGAAGATGATAGCAAGTCAGTCATTGTATGCTACTGCTTGATAGAGATGGCAAAGGGCAATAAAAACACATTTAGCTGTTTTGAACTTCCTCTGACTCTGTTTTACTTTGCTGTATTAGTGACTTATCTGATCATATGTGCTCTTTTGAGCCTTCTGATATACGTAGTATAGTCTTTGTTAGCTCATTTTGGTAGTTAAGCATGATTTATATATATTCGTTATAAGAAATCACGTTTCTGATCATTGGCAACTTTGAGACTTTCTATCCCGTTCTCATTTCTAACTATAAAGATAGGGTTTTAGCGATTTCTTGATTGCATTAGTGATACTTAGGATGTTTTTATTTGTAAACACAACCTAACTATGTGTCTCTAGGGCTACGAAACATGGGAAAATGTCCACAGTTCGAATTGCACCTACTATGATACTATTAGTATTAGTTTTTCCCATCTTCTGCCATTAGGAATGACTTTGTTTACGAGTTAATTTAGGTAGCTGAATTTTTGTATGATTCTGGGTTTGGCTTTATTCTTCTCCCTTATGTTTACACAAACTTTTGCACTTTGATCTGATCAAATACGAGATGTGTTGTATATAGAGTAATGGAAGATGTGTATGAGACAAATTTTCCTAAAGTTTTTAGACTATCAATTATTCAATTTTTAATAAGACATACGAGTATTTACTTAAAAGAGGATACTATTACGTTTTTTAAAATACAGGACTAGACTTTTTTACCTTTCGCTTTCTAAAACAAAGAGGTGAATTTTTTTTGAAGGAACAAAGAGGTGATTTAACAAACACTATTACTTTTGTCATGACTTGTTTTATTTATATTTGTACTATTTATTTTCGTTATACTCTTAAGGAAAGCCTTAATTACATTTGTCACACGTATATATCTTCTTTTAATCTTTTTATATTGCCAAGTTCTAGACTTATTCCATCTGTCCACACACGCATGACGCATCACATGTCCATTGATTTATTCCGGTATAAACAATGTTATAGATCAATTATGAAGTGGCAAGGTGGAGCCAAGGGGTCACGAGCCCCAGATTGGACAGCAAACCAACAAAAGTTTTGAAATACCTTTGGTTCGATGTATTATGATTCTAACAATTAGATACGAGTAAAAAGTTGTATTATGATTCTAACAATTAGATACGAGTAAAAAGTTCTAATTCCTCACAAATCAACACAGTTGAAACTTGAAATAACTAGAATTTTGTGTATAATATTGATTATATTCTCAAACAGCTTTTGCTACTTTTAATTCTCTAATTATGCAATAACTCTTTTGGTATTCGACTTTAAAAATTTTAATATTTAAGCAATTGACTTTCATAAAAGTGACACTTTCGACCTTCAACTATTATAATAATAGAATTTTTAGTACTCATCTCATTGTGTCAAAATCATAGTGGAAGGATTAAATGTGTTAATTTGATAATATTTAAGGAACTAAATGCGGTAAATTTTGAAATCAATGACTAAAAAAATTCTTCCACTCGAGGACTAAAAAATCGAGTACTAAGACCGTTTGGAGTAGTGAAGTATTAGGAGTCCAAAATGTTAAATATAGAATTTTTGAACTCCTAATTGTGTGTAGTGGTAGTTTAAAAGGGGTATTAAAAATGGAAGAGGGAATGGAAGGTATTAAATATAGAGGGTTGGGTAAGAGGGAAGTGGGAAAAAGAAAAAGAAAGAAAAAGAAGAGAAAAGAGAATGTGGGTTGCTTTTCTGGTACAGATGATGTGTCATCCATGCATCATAATATCCCAAAAAAATTTAAACTTGTATAACTTTTTTATTTTTTATCCAAATTTTTCAAAAAGTATATCAAAATTCATAAATTTTTATGACCTTTCATATGACACCAATATGTAATATATATCAAAATGATTTTTTTTAAAGTTTTAACTGTTGAAGTTTTCTTGAGCCCCGGAAAAACATGAAACACAAATCTTTATTTCATGAAGCCTTCACAAATAATTAAATATTCCATAATCGAACTTTACTTGAATTAAGTTCATATTTTGTTAACCGAAAAATGTATAAAAAATTAATGAAATTTATTTATTTTTATATTGAAATATGTCTTTTTTATTTTATAATTAATCAGAGAAAAAATTAAAGCGAAAACATTACTTATAATAATTTAATTAATGTTTTACTAAATTGACATATAAAAAAATGTTCAGATTATGTTTTATTGACGGTGCTGGAATGCAGAGAAATAGGAGTCAAAACACTGTTTTCATATGGACGGAGTCCATTTTTGACATTCAAATAGATTGTTTAGAGCAACACTGCTGCTCTAAATGTAGCTAATGGGTTTAATGCTACTCATATTTTTGTTTACTGTTACTATTATTAGCTAGGGCATAATATTATTTTATTTTATTATTTACTTAGGATCATGTAGTGTATGAGAAGCAGTGCAATCTGACTTTGGCTTTATGCCGGCTGAGCCAGGAGATATTGCATTTTGCGGAGGTGAACGACTAATGCCTTGTTATGTCGTGTAAATATGTGTCAGTTTTAGGCGATCTATTATGCATCATCGGAGGTGAACGACTAAGAGCATCTCCAATGCTCTAATGTGCACGGTGCACATGTGGCATGAATCATTGCCATATAAATATTAGCAAATAAATTATCTCTCTCCTTATTTAAATGATTTTATACAATTTTGGTAAGTTTTTCCCTGCAATGTCAACAACAATGTCAACATTTAGACGGTCTCCTTGACATTGTGGAGAAAAACTTACCAAAACTATATAAAATCATTTAAATAAGGAGATAAAGAATTTATGTACTAATATTTATGTGGTCATCTCTCATGCCACGTGTGCACCGTGCACGTTATAGCATTGGAGATGCTCTAATGCCTTGTTATGTCGTGTAAATATGTGTCAGTTTTAGGCGATCTATTATGCATCATTATTCAACTTAGAAGCTGTTTCGTTCATCTTAATCTTATTACTTATTCCTTAATTTTATTTTATTCAGATCAGATCAGATCAGAAAGATTCAGATCAGATCAAATCAGATCAGAAAGATTCAGATCAGATCAGATCAGAAACATTCAGATCAGATCAGAAAGATTCAGATCAGATCAGCAACATTCAGATCAGATCAGAAAGATTCAGACCAGATCAGAAACATTCAGATCAGATCAGATCAGATAAAAAAATTCAAACATGATTTATCACTTTTATTATTATATTAATTATGATTATTATATTATAGTTATTGTTAATAATATTAATATATTAATATAATAATATTATTAATAATAATATAATAATAATGTTAATAATATAAAATTATTATTATATTATAATAAAATAATAATAATATAATGTAATATAATATAATATAATATAATATAATATAATATAATATAATATAATATAATATAATATAATATAATATAATATAATATAATATAATATAATATAATATAATATAATATAATATAATATAATATAATATAATATAATATAATATAATATAATATAATATAATATAATATAATATAATATAATATAATATAATATAATATAATATAATATAATATAATATAATATAATATAATATAATATATTTATAATTATAATTATAATTATGATTTACAATGTAATTATAATTATAATCATCATTATTATTAATATGATTGTTGTTCTTGTTGTTATTTTTGTAATTATTATTACTTCGGAGTAATTATATATTTAAATTAGTAATTATAGATATAATTATGATTATAGAGATAAATATTATAATTATAATTACAAAAAAAATAATTATAAAATTAATCATAATTAAAAATATAATTACATTTATAATTGTATCTGTATTTATAATTAGTGTAATTGGTATAATTATTATAATTTTAAATTTAATTTTAATTATTATTTTTTTATAATTATGATTATTATTGTAATTTTATTTAAGTTATATTTTTAATTACAATTATAAATCTAATAATTATAATTATAATTACAATTACAATTATAGAAATATTCAAATCAGATCAAAAAGATTCAGATCAGAAGAATTCAGATCAGATCAGATCAGATCAGATCAGATCAGCAACATTCAGATCAGTTCAGCAACGTTCAGATCAGATCAGAAAGATTCAGATCAGATCAGAAAGATTCAGATCAGATCAGATCAGAAAGATTCAGATCAGATCAGATCAGAAAAATTCAGATCAGATCAGATCAGATCAGAAAAATTCAGATCAGATCAGATCAGAACTTAAAAATTTCAGATCAGAAACACCTTCTTAGACTCCCTCACCACTCCAAATGGTCTAACCGTCCCTCATAATCTCACACTAGTCAAAAACGGAAAGTGGCAATTGTGATGTCAGTCAACGAAAACATAAGAAATGCTTGAATAGAGGAATCTTTCAGAATTGAGATCCACAGCCTGGCAATTGTGATCCTTTTTTCACGGGTGACACAAAAAGGAATGAGATCCAGGCATCCAGCCTTACATATTCAGACTTAAACTAACGAGGAACGTACTCACTCTTATATCTACTTTATACTCATCATGTTTGTTAAAGTTTTTATGTCTGTGACCCGATTTATAGATAATATTTTGTTTGTGCAAAATATTGTCTGTGAGCCGGGGTTCACAAACAAAAAAAAACACTTCACAAATATAGGTGAGTACAAAAGTGAGTATAAGAGTGAGTACAAAGATCATTTTTGAAAATAGATAGGCTTTAAATAAAATAAATTAAATAATACTCTGTACTACGTACTAGTACTCTCTTAGAGCATCTCCAATGCTACAATGTGCACGGTGCATATGTGGCATGAGAGAGATAGACACAAAAAATTGAATCTATGACATTTCTCTCACATTCTTTCCACGGTTTTATGTGTTTTTGGTTAGTTCCCCCTGCAATGTCAAGCACAATGTCTAGACATTGTGCTTGACATTGTGAAGAAAAACTTACCAAAATGATGCAAGATCCTTCAAATAAGGAGAGAGATATTCTTTTTATTATTTTTTAATTGGCTATCTCTCATGCCACGTATGCACTGTTCACATTTTAGCATTGGAGATGCTCTTAGTCTTAGTTCATTAATTACCTTTCAAACTACATTTAGAACGAAGTATAATAAATTACTCCGTATATGAACCACATATTATTTGCCAAAATGGATAATTAAAGATTACTTTGGGACAAACAGAAAAAGAAATTGGAATACAGAGTACTA